GAGATGCAACATACAGATGGGCTCGTGATCGAGGGGTGGACTTGACCATGGACACTATAGCACAGGTTATCTATCCATGAATGCGAAACATTGCCATCAAGCAAGCCAAGCGGTTAAAGCCTCTCTGGTATGGAGGACGATGGCTGAAACAAAATATGGGGAGGCCTGGCAGATGGATTACATCACGCTCCCACAGACCCGCCAAGACAGCCAGGACAGCTGACCCCAACTGACCAAAGGGATATTCCACACCACGTGATGTCATGCTCAGCAAAAAAACTGAGGGGAGTCGGCCAGGGAGTGCTGCTGCTGCTCGGGGACTGGCTGGGCATCGGTCAGCAGGTGGTAAGCAATTGCATTGTGCATCACTTGCTTTGCATGTTCTTTTATCGTTATTTTCCCTTCCTTTTCTGTCCTATTAAATTGTCTTTATCTCAACCCACAAGTTTTACCTTTTTTCTGATTCTCTCCCCCATCCCACCGGGGGGGAGTGAGTGAGTGGCTGTGTGGCATTTAGCTGCCGGCTGGGGTTAAACCACACCTTTACTTGGAGAGATAAAAACGGAGTGCATAAAAATGTTAATACTCAGGCTCAGACAGGCTTTAAACACCCCGTTTGCAGCATTAAAGTGGCATATTAAGCTATTTTTCCCTCACATGGAAACAAACTCAGATACTTACTTTTTTTAAATGCATTGTGCAAGGATGTATTCTAGCAAAATGTCTGATTTCCAGCTGAGATGTTCGGGATCTTGGGTCACTTGAAGTACTTACTGATCGTGGTCCGAGCTCACTGCCAGCAGTCGTTCCTTCTGACGAGGGAAGGGCAGTTCTGGCAGCAGTGAGCAAGGGCCGCTGCACGGACTGTCCCGCCGGCTGAGGACAGCACAGGCTGATCAGGCCGGGGTAGGGCGAGCCCAGTCCCACGGCTCGGTCGTGTCATGCTGACCGTGCCAGGCTGCTGCTGTCTCTTCCCTTCCCCAGGTGGGAGAGCTCCAGGCTGCGGTGCCTGGGTGGCAGGGTACCTCGGTGGCAGCCCACGCTGCCGGGCAGAGCGCACCGGCTTCTGCGAGGTACGAGAGAATGCAAGAATGACATTTTTGAACTGACAAGGCTTTTTATGTTGCTGTACTGCAAGAACCTACCAAAAATGCAGTGCTCGTCAAACACCTGTTAGACTACTCCTAGGACTAAGGATTCAGTAAGAAAACACTCCGGCCCTGCAGTCAACACAGGCCAGGTGAAGAGCCAGGTGCAAGGAAGCCCCAACCCTGTGTGTCAGCCTTTGAGCCTACCACTGTGGCCAGGAGGAGTGTTGTGGTTTCACTGTGTGCTGCACCTGTTTTGGCATTTTAGAACAACTTTTTTCAGTTTTACGATAAAAGTCTGAGCTTACCAGGGAAGGGCAGAGAGTTATAGACTACAACATCCTTAAGCCAGCTTCCTTAAGCCTAAATTGCTACAGGCAATTTATCTTGCATCTTAAAAATACTTAGCACTGCTCAGAGAGAAGGGACTTTTCTGAAGTGCCTATGGCTCACGTTCCTCACCTGTTTCCCTCAAGTACTGGAGGGAACCAGCCCATTTCCTTCCCTGCTGCAGCAGTGGAATTCCCTTATCCACCTGTGCGTGTGGAAGCTGGCCCCATAGCTTGCGCCCTGCATCCTCTCGTGGCAACTAGTTATGCAGTCTTGTTTGCTCCAGCCGGAGCAGCAGAGGAAGGGGGGGAAGCTAGTCATGTTCTCAGCAGGGCTGGGCCAGAAACAAGGGAGTTTCTCGGACCGAGGTATCTTGCTGCTGCTCTTGGGTTAGTCAGCAGTTTTGCACTCTGAATACAGTCTGAACAGCCGCTGTAACAGCCAGCGCCGAGTGGCGCAGTACAAGGTGCAGAGTAAAATACCTCATCTCTTCTCATCCGGGACTCTGAAGGAGTGCCTGGCTTTGGTCCTGAGTATCTTCTGTCTCGCAGGCAGCAGACGTGGAGGTATGACTGACTTTCCCATTCATCTCCCTCAGGGGGTGGTAGAGGTAGTCACCGCTCTCATGGCGCCTCTCTGACCTGGCCTTGAGAAAAAGGCCTATGTTTCCCATGGCGCTAATCACGAGAAGCAGAGCCAAGACAGAGGTCATGGAGATCCAGGTTTTTCTGTCAGACAGAAGAAAAATCCACGTAAGCAACATCTCTTGACCTGCTTTCACATGTTCCCAGCGTGCACGTGACTTCTCAAGGCTTGCGCTCCCTTCTCTGTCACCGTAAGCGTGTGGTTCTGCTCTCAGGCAGGCGAGAACACGCTCTGTGAAAGCCTCTGAAGGGCTGCTCTGGCAGCCAGAGCAAATGGCTGTTTTTAGCTTTCCACTCAGTTAACAAGTGACCAGCTGTGCCTGCAGAGCAACTGTAGCTTCACTAATACTACAGCAGCTGTGCTCTGGTGTGGAACTGTCCTTGTCTGTCTGTTGCATATACAGTGCACCAGCGGGAGAGGAAAGGCGGCTCTTGTTGAAGTGTAAGCTGCAGAGCGCTAGGCTCAGAGCACGAACGGACAGTGATGGGGGCTTCAGCTCAGCACTTGTCTTATGGTTGGGTTTCTATCACTTTGCCTTCCATATCCTCATCTTTCCCATCGCGAGAGCTGTAGGCGATATAAGGAAGCCAGAACACAGATGCTTTGGGCAATGAAGCAGCGGGTCTGACACGCTGCCCTGGCACTCGGGAGGTGGTGTGAACAACTCCATCTCGCAGTGAGCAACTGATGGCATGGACTCGGTGTGTATGTATACGCGTATATGACGAGTATTACACACTTACTCTGACAGAGGGAATTTTTCTTTGCTCCTTCCCTTATTCTGGGAAGCCAAACACCGCCCAGCTGGAAAACAAAGAATAGAGGGAGGAAAGGCAGTGTTGGGGGGAAGGTGTAAAATTCCACTGAAAAAGAGTAAGCTTAGGTAAGATGACAGCCAGCCAGAGCTGATAACTAAGCAAACAGAACATTATGCACCAAAGCTGCCCTTCCAACTTTTTTTTTTTTTTAAAACACAACCACTGTAACCAGAGGTACCTTTGTTTAACTGGTCCTGTATTGCCAATTCGTAGGTGGTGTTGCAGCTGCCTGTCTCCCGGTCGCAGGGACACATGTGTTCACATGCACAGGGTTTCTGGCAGTTTGGCCCATACCAGCCCATGGGACACTCTAGGGAATTGATTACAAAGAAATCAGTCACTGGCAAAGCTCCACGTGCTTTGAAACCATCCAGTCTATCACTGCAGCTCCCCCTGCCCCCAGCTCAACTGTGCCTGTTTCCCCAGCTGCACCAGCTCAGTGCCAGGAAGGATGGGCACACTCAGAGCTTTAGGAGAGGCTCAAACCTCACCTACATCTGACTGGGGTATTCGTGTTGCTTCTGTCACCGCAGCAGTCTCTGGCCTCGTTGCTTCCCATGTGTTTTTCTCCCCGCCACGTCTGAGCTACGGCCCCGCTGTTTGGCTCAGAAGCAAAGGTGGAGGGGGGCATCAGCGGCCAATCCCTAAAGGGAAGCAAGTACTCGCGTTTGAGTACAAGCATCCAGTGGGCTCTTCGGCTGCGCTGAGCAGTCGGGGCCCCAGGTTTCCCGCAGCTTGCCAAAGCTGTTCTGCTTGCCCACCCTGCTCCCTCCAGCAGCCGGAAAGCACCAAACGGCGAGTCAACTGCTGTTATTTTGTTTACTTCAAGGAGAAGATTTTGTAAAATAGGGATGGGGCTGGCTGAGCATTCCTAGGCTGGGAACAAAGCATCGCTAGCGTAACCATGCACGCAAGACGTTTACACCCACGCTGTAATTAACTTGTCCTCTCACCAGAGCAGGCTGTTCAGTCAGATACACAGCGGGGCTCGAGCACTTCAGAAAAGCTGGAGTGGTTACACAATCGAGAACATCGCTCGCTCTGTTAGCACTAGCACCTGCACAGCCGGAGTTCGAAGGTTGTAAGCCAGAATGGCCCTTTGGAGCATTTCACACCCACTGACTTGGGTCACCCGAAGCCCAGGCTACAGGCAGGGCCTGCTGCAACACCCTCAAGCAAAGGATATTCACGTACTCATGTTCTACACTCACGCGCTTAGGAAAGCAACACCATTCTTTGGGGCAGAGACTAAACAGGCATCCACAATTTTCTAATGATGAAGAAAACTCCTCTTTCCTCTCTGCTCCCTCCTTTTCTTTTTAGCCAGTTTGGGTAGGGCAGGCAAGCCCTTAAGAGCTGGGAGCTGGCAGGTTACGCTCCAGCTGTGAAGTTCAGGCCTGAGCCCGCCTGGCAGACCTCACACTTGCTTTGCCTACAAGAGGTGGCTTGGATGTGACACAAAAACCTCTCCCCAGCCCAGGCTGTTATTCAGAGCAGCCCCTACCTTGCTCGCAGCTGGTGCCATAGTACCCAGCCGGGCAGGAGCAGGCTCCGTGCGCGGGGTCACACGAGCCACCGTTCTGGCACCGGCATTTCTGGGTGCAAGCGTCCCCATAGAAACCGCTAGCACAAGCTGCAGGAGACAAGCAGAGATCTCATCAGGACCCTCGTTACAAAGGCAGCAATCCCACCCCATGCCTCTACCCATGGAGTATTCAATGGCACAGGGTATTGACAGCTGCTCGGAGAACAGAAGCCGAGTCTGTGCCTTGAACAAGGAGCCAGGGCTTAAAGTGCTTCGCACCAAGCCAGTCTTAAGGTGTTCAGGCTGCAATTAAACTCACATTGACAAAAAAAAAAGAGAACACTGTGTAGCCTTTCCCTTCATTGCTCCCTCTTGGAAAAGAATATTAGAGGGACCTCCCCACCACTGCAGGCAGCCAGCTGTTCGGAAGCGGTTCACACCATCCTTTTGCTGGCTATGAAGAAGTGGAGTGGAACTCAGTATTACCTTCACTGCAGTTGCTGCCAATCCAGCCAGCATCACACAGGCATCCAGCTGTGCAAACACACACAAACAGGCATTAACAACAACAGAGAAAGACTTAGAAATAGCAGGAACTCAAAATTAGGAGCCTCTCCTTCTTGGTGTGCCTGCTTAACCTTCCCTGCCTCTGCCAGGGAATATGCAGAAGAGGAATCCTGAGCTCACACACAGGTTAGGTTCAAATACGCACCCACTACAGCTGCCAAACACAGCAGAACCTCCTGCTGATTGGATTGAGAGATTAACTCTGGGTCAACTATTAGCAACACCTTTACCCACCGAGCTCTGCCCAGTCACTTCGCTGGTGCAAACTCGGCTGTGAATTGAATCAGGGAGGTAGTAAAGAAACAGGAAAACAGGATTGAGCAGGCACAGAAGAGCAGAAGCTGGGGGGTGTATGTTATGGCAGTCCCCAGATTCAAAACAAGCTGACAGAAGGGTAGCAATTGCTCACTTGTAAAAATCATGAAGCGGGAGAGCCAAATAAAGAAGCAACAATAAGGGGAGGGGGTAGAACTCAGCTGCTTTGTCATACAGCGTAATACATTGCCCTTCCCATCAGCAGGTTTACAAACAAACCAGGAGCACAACCCCGGGGGGCAGAAAGGGAAACTGAGACACAGAGTTTGAAGTCAAGTCCTATTACAGGTCCAGTTTCCAGATCCGGGTCCCAGCCTAGCACTGCTGCTGTCTCCTAAAGGCAACGTGTTCTGACCATCTCTACCGCTGCTTCAGATGCTGGAGGGAAGGGGGAGAGCAGCTCCATGCACCCAGAAGGTAAGACAAGAGGTGAGGCACACAGCACCGGTTGGCTTCCAGAGTCAGGGCACGGGCTGGCCAGACAATCAGCACCTGCGGCCCTAAAAGGCTGGGCTCCCGGGGCTGGAAGCCTCTCCAAAGGGCGCTGCTCCCTGCAGCGAAGGAAGCGGCTACTGCCGGTGCCAGTTCACGTGACCTACGCTCCTTCACGCCAGGGTGGGAAAGGACCCTATGGACCAGCCAGGACTGCACGCAGTGATGCACTGAGGCCCCACCGTGGTGCCTCGCAGGCAGGTAAGCGATATTCCCCACGTATATACTGCCCAGGTCCGTGCTTCCCCTAGAGCTACCACAGGCACCCACTGGCATCTCCGTGTTAGAAGCCTTTGCGCACCACAGTGACTCACCGTCGGTGCAGATGCCATGCAGGCTGCAGTTGGAAGGGCCACAGTCCAAGATGTCACAGGCTGGGCCTCTCCAGAAGTCCCCAGTGCAGTGGCACTCCCCTTGCACGCAGTCCCCGTGACCGCTGCAGTCTGCAGGCTCACAGGTGGGCTCGTGGATACACACGATGGTCGAGATGCTCCGAGGGCAACGCCACATGCTGTCAAAGGGGCTGGGGACAGAAGATGGGTCCCGTAAGGCGTGCAAGCGCTGTGCTGCTCCCAGCCCTACGTGAAACCGGTTGATATAATCCACAAATTTTCATCCTGATTCACTTTGGCAAACAAGAACATTAATAATGGGAAAATATAAACATAAAACTAGATTTGAGTCAATGTGTTAACTCCTATTGGATAGGAGTCATTTCAAACATGGAATTGTTTGACAAGACACAGAAAGCAACGTGCAAGCAAAGTCTCCCTTTAAGCAGTCCCAGCTTCCCTAACTTTGGCGTTCAACACGCCTTTTCTTGATTATTATTTGCTTTGATATAAGTGACGTCAGTTATAGCAACGCTTGGCTTTCAACTGTCAGACTGCAAACTGAATTTTAAATCCCGTCATGTTTACAGTCAGAAATGACTAAAAAGCTAAATTTAAAGTAAAATACTCTTTAGGTTCCCTCATGGGCAGGGCAGAGTCTCCCAGTCAGTGTTTCTCTTCCATAATAATAAGCTGTTGACAGATCTGTGCTAATTCCTGTGAACGTGCAGCTCTGAATCTCCCAGTCTAAGAGATGCTTCCATATCCGATTCCCACATCAGGCCACCCAGTCATGCCCAACAGCTTTGCTGCATGTGTGAAAACAGCTAAACTTTAATCCCGGGTGACTAAGCGAAGAAAATATGCAGTCACTAAATCGCTTTAAATTTTAGTCACTCTCCCTCAAAACCTGTCACTTGCCTTTACACTGTGACCTCCCAGCAGGGCAGACTGACTCCCTTGCAGAGCAGAGGGGTAGGATTGAGCTCTGCACGCTCACGGGAGCTGCGTGGTTACTTGTGCAGCCCTGGGCACGTGCAGCCAGCACCTACCAGTGCTCAGACGGGTAGCTTGCGAGGGTCCCATTTAAGACCAGCGTTGCAGACCCTCCACCATCCAGGTTGATAGCGTTGATGATTCCCTGCTGCTTCAGAAATTCAGCCATTTCCCAGAGGTTGACACTGCAAAAGCAAACAGTTGTTCGTTTCCCGTTCATGCTGTTTGACGTCAATGAAACTGCTCTACCAGAAACTTGGACCCTCTCCTTGGCAGAAAGGGGGAAGCTCTCCCATCCCAGGTATGCTGACTCGCTGCCTGGAGGCTGCCTTAGCCTTTTTCTGGCTCTGCCCTTCTACCACCATAAACTGTTAAGCACTGTCTTCAACTGACCTCTTTAGCTCTGTGAGTCTCTGCCTTAAAACATATTACTGGCAGCCGCAGAGTCCCTCCGGTTCCGGTGACAGAATTTAAAGACCAATTTTGCACTTGCCCCAAGGGCTTACCACAACCCTGGCCTTACCCTCTGGATTCTGTCTGTCCATCCACGTGAACCAAGACCAGCTGCCCCTGATTGTCATGTCCAACTGCAGTCCTGGCTGATATCACGTTGATGAACTTGTCGAAGGTTCCTGTGCAGGAGAGGGAATAATTCACGCACCAGCTGGGTGACAGCACTGGCTGTTTAGACACATCTGTCTGCAAAACAGCTCCCAGCAAGGAGCTCATCTGAACTGAAACACAATGAGAACAGAGCCCAGGTTCCTTTTGTTCATCCAAGCCCATCTAGGAATAACATTTCCAGAAGCGCTCTTGTTAAGTTTTTGTCTGGCACAGGGACAAAGAAGGGGATTCACAAGCCCTCAGTTTTAAACTCCTGTAAGAGGCATCTGCTTTGAGTTTCTCTGAACAAGTATCAATACCAATCATGCCACCACTATTTACAGTCCTCAGCAAATTCTATTCAACAACCCTGAACAGGCGAGCGCAGCCTCATCTTGCAGGCAGCCTATTTCTTGTACTGCGCTTGCCGCAGACTCAGGGTAAAGTAGCACAGAAGAAATTTGGACCTCTTAAGTGAGCAGCAAACTGCAACTAGACAACATAGATTCCACTGCTACCCCCTCCTTCCAACAGCCCCGTCAGAAGGACAAGCTATACCCAGGCTGAAGCTAGGCTGTACAATATTTACCTGTGGTTTGAATTTCATCACACTCAGCCATTTGACTCTGACTGATGTACACTTCTCCGTCTCTTAGGAGCCAAACTACCCCACTCACAAGCTGCACAAAAGGGTTTGCTTGATCCAAGACATCTTCCTCAGACAGGTAACTAGGAAAGAGAGAGCAGGAGGGGTTACCCACAGTCACAGCAGCGTCATGTAAAAGCCTCTTCTGCTGCCAGCAGGCTCCAGAAGCAGGGAGAAGGTGGCTGAATGAAGGCTAGCTACATCCAAAACTAGAAGCCAAGCAGTGTGAAACATCACTTTAGCAGCCAGAGTAGACCCTGTTCTCCACTGTTCTGCACAAACCCACTGTTAATGATGGTCCCAGGCCACTGTGCGTGAAACAACTCCTGCCAACAATGTGGCCAGTGGACCCGAGCCAGGATAATAAGGGCAGAAAGCATCTGGCGGAACATGAGGGCAGAGCCATTGCCAAATACTCAGGGATCTGTGGAAGCAGCTGTAACATCTTGCTGTCTGTCAGCTTCCATTCTGCAAAATAGTGACACCAAACAGCTTTTGAGAGGGTTTTCAGCAACGGCATCCAGTCTGCCTACAGCTGCACCGAGGGGAAGACACTGCTGGATGCTACCTGCTCCCCTCCGTCTGGGAAGGAGCTTCCTCTACTCTTCCAGACGGCAAAACCTTTCACCGAACAGCCAGCTACCATTTCCATGATCGGGCGTTGTGTGTCGCTCTGGGGTGCTTCCCAAGGGATATTCTTCTCTCAAGAATTAGGGTGCTGACTAACACCCGCCTCATCAGAACCTGACGCTAGGTGATGTTTGCAGCTGACAGGAGAGGACAGCAGCAAAGGTTGGGGCTGAACAGCTGTGCTTTCGCTGTAAGCTCTGCCTGTGGTTTTTGGTTTAAAACTGATTGCTCTGCGTGCTCCAGACATGTCTTGGGGCTGGATGCTCAACTTTTAGTTTTTTAGTATCCGTGACTGCAGCTGAACAAAGCTTCACGCTTTGTAGAAAAGTGTAATTGAAAATACCTGAATGGAAAACATGCAAAAAGAAATCCCTTTACCCAAGGGAAGGGAACACAAAGATGAAATGAACGCAGCTGAAAATGGATCAAATTGCACAACAGCTTGAGCATGGACGAATCAACTGTCAGCTTTTAAAGCCTGCAATTATCCATGGCCAGTCTAGGTGGCAGAGGCAGCATCTTTGTTAGGTGGGGGGTAACAATGTGCCCTGGAGCACCGTCCTGCTGATCATGATATAGTGTGAAAGGGTCAAGTGCAAATCACTTTCCCCACTGCCCTGACAGACCAAATTATTTACACCAAAACTATTTCTAGTGTCATGTTTTGGAAGCCACAAGGACACCAAGCAGACAACTCGCACAGTGCCATGACTGCATTTAACACGGGAAATCCTGCCAGAGGAGGAGAGAAGCTGGGCAGAGCTGAGATTAAGGACTCAACAGTGACCTTGCAGTTGCTGTTGGTCCCCTCGGCAGAAGCCCCCTCGCTAAAGTGGACACGTCACCAACTCTGCCAGCCCCTCCGCCACGTAAATTAAGGCCGTGGTTCTCAGGGCTGTCAGAGAATGGCTGCACACTAAAGCCCCGGCTTGATACAGTCAGTTTGGCTTTGCAGGGACCCTTGCTGAGGTCTGAGGGCACGTGGGAGCGGGCTAAGAGAAGGGTGGAGAATGCAGCAGCTTCCAGACTGCTTCTCAGTCTTCTGAGACCATCAGAAGGACCTCTGGGAACCCTTCTAGGACCTTTAGGGTGCCTGCTGCTGCTGGGGAAAGGTAGCTACCAGGGGCCTTTACTTCCAGCAAGCGCTAACAGTCCCTCTGTCAGCTATTCCCCATCGAAGGGTGCTTTGAGCTTTTGCCTCCAGCCGATTAGGGAGTGTCACACGCCCTTTCCCCTGGTGCCAGGAAGAGGCCTATATATAACAGCCAGGCTGAGACCACAGCTCCCAGCAGCCAAGAGATGCTGCGGCTCGTGCAGTAGGGAGCTGGAAACTCTGCAGAGGGCAGTGTCTGTGGTCAGCTGTGGTGACACACCACAGGGCACAGCCTCCAGCACCGACTTCTACAACTACTCCCAGCACAGCAGACACCTCGATTCAGCCCGAGCTGTGGAGGGAGAAGGCAGCGCTCCAGAGCTCGAGCTGCAGGGATACCTGGTGCCTCTTGCTGAAGCTGGGGCCAAGGGAAACAGTGTCCTAGTGTGCGCTGGCTGAGGAGCTGTGCTGCCAAGACGAGGAGCTACAGGAGGAGGTCTGCATGCTGCACAGCAGCAGGGATGATGAGAGAGATGGACAGATCTTCTCTAATAGCCGGCAGAAACAAAACCCTGAACCCCGCAGTGCCCAGAAGGAACACCCAGGATCTGCTCACTGGGGTGGCAAATCCTGTGATGATGAAGGCTGGAAGTCTGTGAGCTCTGGCACCAGGAGAGAGCTCTTCCTCCACCCAGGTTCAGTGCCCTGGCAGCAGGCAAGGGGCTGGGAGCTCTGTGAAATGATGCGTCTGTGCCAGCTGAGCCTGAACCGCACAGCAGCACCAGAGGAGGTGGGTGAGTGATGGGGGGAAGCTCCCTGCAGCAGGGGACAGAGCCCCCACCTGCTAACCTGTCTAGGGAGGTGTGCTGGGGCCTCAGATCTAGGATGGTGTGGGGAGACTGCTGAGGCTTCTCCAGCCCCAAGACTATTACCCCGTGCTGCTCTTCCGCACAGGCAACAACAGCACTGCCAGGGGAAACCAGGAGTGTATCAAGAGCAACTGCATGGCTCTGGGGTTGATAGCCAAGGGTGGCCCACGTGGTCCTCTCCTCAATCCTGCTGGTGAGGAGGAAGGGCTTGAGAAGCAGTGGATGGATTCTGTGGGTCAATATGCAGTAGCACAGCTGGTGTTGACAACAGGAATTTGGCTTTTACAAGGACAGAACCCTCTCTGAGGAATGAGAACCTGACCAAGTGAGGCAAAAGTAACTTCTGTAAATAGGCGATCTGTTGAGGAGAGCTTTAGACCAGGAATGACACAGGAGGGAGATGATCACCCACAGTCAAGTGAGGAAGTGGTAGACCAGGCTGGCAAGCGAAGGTTGCAGGGTGACATGGGCATAAGAACTCCAAACAACAAAGTATAAACAAAAGGGGACCTCAGCCATATGCACACAAACAAGGAAATGGTGAGAGGTCTTACGAGGAAGCTCTCACCCTCTTCCTGGAAACTCGGAGCGGGTGCCTATGTGAAGTTGTACACTAACGCAAGCAGTATAGGCACAAACAGGAGGAATCGGAGGTCTGTGCAGCTGCAGGGCTACAACCTCACTGGGATCACGCAGACATGGCAGGATAGCGCGTGTGACTGGAGTGCTGCAATGGACGGACACAGGCTCTTTAGGGACAGCCTGTACCCAGGGAATGCGGTGGGAGAAGTGGGGAGCAGTTGCCCTTTACATGAGAGAGCAGCGGGAACGCCTGGAGCTCTGCCTAGGCACTGACCACAAGCTAGCTGAGGGCTTACAGGTTACGATTAGAGCTCTGGCAGATCAACGTGGGTGACATCGTGGTGGGTGTCTGCCACAGACTGCCTGGTCGGGAAATAGTAGATAAGACCTTCTTCAGAAAACTGGAAAAAGCCTCATGTTCACAGGCCCTGGCACTTATGGGGGACTTTACCCATCTGCTGAAAGGGCAACACAGCGGAGCACAGGTAATCCAGGAGGTGCCTAGATTTCTACTTAACAGCAAGTAACTTAAGACAAACTTTTTTTACTGTAAAGGGTGGCCAATCGCAGGAACAAGTTTGCCCAGAGAGGTTGGGGGGTCTCCATCCTCGGAGATGTTCAAAGCCCAACTGGACATGACCCTGAGCAACCTGCTCCAGGCTAACCCTGCGCTGAGCAGGGCGTTGGACGAGGCACCTCCAGAGGTCTCTTCCAACCCCAGCATTTCTGTGCTGTAGCCAGAGCAGTTATGTAGTCTACTCTGCCTCTCCTCTGTGGGGAGGACAGAGACCTCTTGCCCTTCTACCATAATCAAGTGTACCTGCTGCATGTTGGGAGAGGAGACACAGGAACCTAAGCAGCTAGAGATCATCAGAGTAACTTATCCAGCTTCTCTTCATCCTAGGAAAAAAAGCCAATGGCCAGATACAGCTCAATGGCGTACAGGTAGGACAGCCCTAATTTAAGTGTTCAAAGCATCCTCATGCTGAATCAGGCAGAGGCCAAGGATGCAGTGCCTGGGCAGTGCTTCCAGCCTCAGTGATTCCTACCAGTCTTCAGGGAGGAGAGAGCGCTCTCCAAGCATCCCCCAAGTTCTTACCCAAACACCATGGTGCCATCCTTCCGGATGCCGAACTGAGCGTTTTGCAGGCCTCCAGAGTTTCTCACCAGCTTTCCATCGCTCACAACGTTCCCAAGGCACTCTCCGGTTCCCATGTCAAAGTACCCACCGTTCTGGGCCACCAGACACTTCCCGAGCTTTGCGGTCTCTTCCACAGGGGCTCTGCGGTAAGCCTGGCAGCCTCCCGCGCCGCCCGGCTCTAGCACAGAGACGGTCCTCAGGGGGTTCCTCACAAAAGTGAAGTGGCCGTAGACCGCCTTGCGGTCCTTGCCCTCTGGGGGGATGTAAGAAACAAACGTTCTGGTGGTAGCCACTGGGCCGCCCGTCCTGTTGTCGCTGGGCCAAGCTTCGTATGTTACGTTGCCGTACTTGACGGGCTGGCAGTCTCTGACGTGCCTGTGGTGGTGCCGAGGGCCGTGCCGGGAGGGGAAATACGGCCGCAGCAGAGGGTCGCTGGGGGGGCTCCTGCAATGAGAAGATCCGGTTGCCCCAAGGCTGCCCTGGCAGAGCGCGTCTGCAGCCCTACGCGGTGGGACGAGAGCTGCTGGGCTCGGGGCGGTGGGCGGGGAAGGCCCCACCGACATCCCGGGCCCGGCTTCTCCCCTGCCCCCGGGGAGTCGCCGGTACCGCTGTAACCCACCCCGGCTTAAGGGGAGCTGTCCCGCTGAATACCCGCACCACCAAGCCGACCTCGGG